TTCCTGGGTGGCACAGGCAGTTAGCGCTCTACCACTAACCTAAAGATTGGTGGTCTGAACTCACCCAGAGGCACGGTGGAAGAAAAGCCTGGGAACCTGCTTGCATAAAAATTACAGCCAAGAAAACCCCACAGAGAAATTCTACTGTGTGACACACGCGCCTGCCACGAACCAGGATCCACCTGATACACACACTGGGTTTGGTCTGGTGGCATAGTGGATAAGGCACTAGACTGCTAACTGGAAGGTCAGTGGTTCAAACCCACCAGCTGCTCCCTGGAAGGAAGACTGGGCGATCTTCTTCCATAAAGATTTACTGCCTCGGAAACCCAATGGGGGTCGGTATGAGTTGGAAACGACTCGACAGCAGTGAGTTAGCTGAGTTTGAGCTTATTATAAGGTTTTGGGGATGATCTATCTGGAGTGGTTTGCTCTCGTCAAGCCTTTGGGTGAGATGTGTCATCAATCATGTAGATTATTTATTTATTGTGATTTGGGTGAAAGTTTACAGAGCAAATTCACTTTCTATACAGCAGTTCACATACACTTTGTCTCATGACATTGACTACAATTCACCACAATGCAACAGCTCCACTCCCACTTCCTCCTGACAGTCAACTGTTCCCTGTGTCCATCCCTCCATCTACTCCTGCCCCCTGAGCTGGTCTCCCTGTGCATACACAGCCCTTCTATTCTCCCATGATTGTTCTCTCCAAGGAGTGTACCTACCTCAGGTAAATGTTCAACTCATATGCCTGTCTTTTGTTTGGCTGGAAGCCACAGGAGGGGGTTCAATTCCAGACCTGAAGGACAGCTAGGGTCCATAGTCTCAGTGGTTCCACCAGGCTCTATCAGACCAGCAAACTTAGTCCCTTTTTCTTCCCCAAATGATTTTGAGTTTTGTCCCACATTATTCTCCCTCTCTATCCAGGATCTCCTACAGAGATCCCCCTCTGAGTGGTTGACAGTGGTAGCTGGGCACCATCTAGTTCTTCTGGTCTCATAGTCGTATAGGCTGAGGATCGCATGGTGTACCAGTTGCGAGGACTAAAAATGTTTCCATGAATCTTTGGTTTTCTTCATTCTTCTTTGCTCTGGATGAGGAGAGACCCATCGTTGCATCTAGATGGCTGCTTGCAAGCTTTTAAGATGCCAGTCGCTACTTGCCAAAGTAGGAGGTGGAACAATGTTTTGTGTAGTATGTTAAGCCAATTGAGCTTGATATCCCCTGTGACTTTGGTCCCGAGCCCACAGGTTCAACTACTTGGTCCCTCTGGGTAGCTGGCTGTGACCAAGAAGTGATTACAACCTTGTCCCTTGTCAGCTCTACTACACACCTGGGAATTCTTACACCGTGTAAGGTTTTGCAGAGTTTTCTGGAAGTTTGTTCTTGTAGGGTTTCTGATCAAGACTGATATTGCAAGGCCTTGGAGAAGTTTGGCTTCTCACTGTGTCCCACTTGGGAAAATGTGCCATAGAGGAAGAGCACCTTCCTGACTGTCCTCACCCTCTGCCCACAGGATCCCTCTTCGGCGGGTGCACCCTGGACTCGGCGTCAACTCCCTGAGGGCATGGCCACCAGAACACCCAAGGCTGGGAGCCCTGTCTCCTGGGAACCGTTCCACTTCTGTCCTTCTTTCTAACTACATGAATGTGAGTGCCCCCAGCCCCTGCCACCCTCAAGCCATGCTCCTCATTCACCCTCGTCTCCTGTCACCAGGTACAATATTTTGGAGAAATTGGGCTGGGAACGCCCCCACAAAACTTCTCTGTCCTCTTTGACACCGGCTCCTCCAACCTCTGGGTCCCGTCGGCAAGATGCCACCTCTTCAGCCTGCCCTGCTGTGAGCTTTCATGGGGGAGGATGAGGCAGGATAGGGTGAGGGAAGAGTGGGGGGATGGGCTCAGCGTCCCAAAGCTTTTGAGTCACCACCTCGTGTGACACTCGCCCAGTGACACCTCCCTGACCTTCTGACCCAGGGTTCCACCACCGCTTCAACCCCAAAGCTTCCAGCTCCTTCCGGCCCAATGGGACCAGGTTTGCCATTCAGTATGGAACTGGACGGCTCAGTGGTATCCTAAGTGAGGACAAGCTGACTGTACGTGACCCTCCATCCCAGGAAGGCTTGAGCCTGGGACATACCCAGTGTCTACCCTAGTTGGTCCAGGAAGGGGGTTGAGCTTATAGGTGAAGCAGCAGGGCTTCTAAGAGAGAGAGAGGTGAGACTTCCTGGTAGAGGGACGGGGCTTCTCAAGTGGCGGGGCGGGGCTTCCTGGGTGATGGGGTGAGAGTTCCTGGTGCAAGGATGGGGCTTCCCAAGTAAGGAGGCAAAGCTTCCCAGGAAATTGGGACTTTTTTCCAGATGATGCGGGATTCATGCCTTGGTTTGTGGGATCTTGGGCTATGTGGATAACGTCACTCCAGAAGTAACTGGCCCCATGTGAATCCATCCCTAGATTGGGAATCTGAAGGGTGCATCGGTGGTTTTTGGAGAGGCCCTGTGGGAGCCCAGCCTCGTCTTTACTTTTGCCCACTTTGATGGGATACTGGGCCTGGCTTTTCCTATTCTGGCCAAGGAAGGCGTTCGGCCCCCGCTGGACGTACTGGTGGACCGGGGGCTCCTGGACAAGCCTGTTTTTTCCTTCTACCTCAACAGGTACCAGTCGATCCATCTACGTTCCTATGAATCCTAGCCCCTGACCCAATAAACGGCCACCCTCCCTATGGAGTTAACAACCCAAGACGGAAAGTCTCGCTCTCCACTCAGGAAGTCACACCCAGTCTCCATTCAGTAGTTCATCTACCCAACACAGGAAGTCCCGCCCCCATTCCAGAAGTCACCAGCTTAACCTAAGTGCTCGGCCCTCAGAAGTCCCACCCACTGATGGATAGTTGAAGACGAACTCAAGAACTGCACCAGGAGATTGCTACCCAACCAAATATAATTCAGAATCCCTCTCCTTACCATTACAAAAAAAATCCATTTGAGAATACCCACTTAAAAGTCAAGTGTTGCCAATTTGAATCCATGAAGTCCCACTCACCACTTAGGAAGTGTTCAGAACATCCCACCCACCACTCATGGTCAGGAAACCCTACACTTACTATTAGCCTGGCCTCCAAAGCACTCAGGAAATGACCCCCACCTCTTGGAGGGTTCTACGCTCCTTCTTCAGCGTCTCCTCCCCTCTCCAGGAAGTCCGCACCCCCTTTTCCCATCACTCGCAGGCACGTTAAGAAGTCTGATCCCTCTCAAGATGCCAAGACTTAATACAGAAAGCCTCACCAGGCACAAGTCACGCCTCCCAGTGCCAATCCATTAACCCCATGGTCCACTTGGTTGCCTTGACATTCAGCTCCAGAAATTTTTCCCCAAAAGGCCCGTGCCATCCCTACTTCAGAAAGTCCCCAACTCCCTGCAGCCCACCCTCCACTGAGGAGCTCCTAATTCCCTCTTCACCAGCCTTGCTTGCTTTCAATCCCGACAGCGAGGCCCTGCCTGCAGCCCACGACCCCACGTAGATCCTGGAGACCACTCCCACTGACAGGAAGTCCCATCCCTGGTGGCTCCTGGGGCTGGCAGGGGGGACACTCGTGATGCTGACCGAGCTCTGCCTCTGCAGGGACCCCGAAGGGGCTGATGGAGGAGAGCTGGTCCTGGGGGGCTCGGACCCGGCACACTACATCCCACCCCTCACCTTTGTGCCGGTCACTGTCGCAGCCTTCTGGCAGATCCACGTGGAGAGGTGAGGGAGGGACCAGGACTCCTGGGTCTGGGGCAGGAGGGGCCGCATCTCCTGGGTCTGAGGTCCAAGGGGCTCCAGTGACCACCCATTCTCCCTCAGAGTGAAGGTGGGCACCGCCTTGAATCTCTGTGCCCAGGGCTGTGCTGCCATTCTAGACACAGGCACGTCCCTCATCACGGGACCCTCTGAGGAGATCCAGGCCCTAAACTCAGCCATTGGAGGTACCACTCTGCTGACGGGACAGGTGAGGACCTGGTCTCTGGTGGGGGGGGCTGGGGAGGCTGACGGGGGTTTGATGGAAGGGCCCACCACCCAGGAAAAATCCACTACTGACTGGGGGGACATCAGTAAGAATGCTAGGGCCCTACGGGGGAAAGGAGGTGGCTACGAGGTACCCCAGAGCCAAAGGGACGGGACCTGTGACACCACCCAAATGTCCGTCCTGAGTGATTCAGTGGCTGGAGGAACAAGCTGAGGAACTGCCTGGGTGGATGAAGGTTTATTCAGGGCCGGATGGGACTGGGAGGCTTGGGGGCCCCAGGGATGTCTAGGGGAGGGGTGAAGGAATCTCAGGAGCCATATTTAGGGACACCCCCCCTCCCAAGTCTTTAAGGCTGGGTGATACAAGAGGTTAGCAGGCTCAGCTGTTGTCTGAAAGGCTGCTGGTTCAAGTGCACCCAGAAGAAAGGCCTGGAAATCTGATTCCCCAAAAATTAGCCAGTGACAATCTCACGGAGCACAGGTCCTGTCTGACCCATGGGGTCACTGCCATGAGCTGGAGGGGACTTAATGGCATCTGGTTGGTAACTTATTTAAAAAACAAAACTTTAGATATACCATGTATGAAAAGTAAACCACACTGGTGGGCACAATCCACATTTAGATAAGAGAAGAAAAGGGAGTTTGGCCAAATGAGTTTGGAGAAAGTGGCAAAAATTATATAGGAGCGAGAGGAGAGCTACTAAGGAGAGAGAAGTCAGCAGGTGTGACCACCCCAGGCCCTGAATAGCTCGCTGCCCTGTATGGACCTACCGCCCTGTATGGACTTACCGTAGGGCACCGGGGAGCCACGGCAGGTGTTCCTCCCCCACCTCCATTTGTTGCTCTTTTCCAGTATCTTATCAACTGCTCGAAAATCCCAACTCTCCCTCCAGTCTCCTTCCAGCTTGGAGGAGTCTGGTTTAACCTCACGGGCCAAGATTATGTCCTTCAGGTGGGTTAACATCCCAGTGAAATCAAAGTGACGCAGTGTGGTTGGGCTTGAGAGGGTGTGGCTGGGAGGAGGTGAAGGCCACAGACACAGCTCGTCCCGTCCCCGAGGTAACTAATGCTTTCTGGCTTGCGTGCACTAAGCGGGAGGCCCGTGGGCGTGACACGTAATTGGCTCCACCTTGTCCCCTTGTAGATTGCTCGGTTTGGAATCCATTTCTGCCTGTCCGGCTTCCAAGCTCTGGACATACGTTCGCCCGAGGGGCCCTTCTGGATCCTCGGCGACGTCTTCTTGGGGAGTTACGTGGCTGTCTTCGACCGCGGGAACAGCAGAGGTGGAGCCCGAGTAGGGCTGGCACGCGCTCGTCCTCGCGGGGCGGGGCGGCGAGGGCTTGGGGCTGCGCAGGCGCAGTTCTCCGGGCGACGCCCTGGTTAGGCGCATGCGTGCCTGGGTGGTAGCGGAAGGCCCCGCTATTCAGTGATAAAAATAGTAAATCTTCTATTTCCATTGCACCTACTTTGATTGCGTTTTTCTTTAAAAAGGCATGATTTTTTTAAAAGAGAAAAATTATTATGAGGACTTGCGGAGCTGAGAAAGAAGAGGTGCGGCAAGGGTATCACCCTTTTTCCGGGGCTCATATGCGTACGGGGGCCTCGTACTACGAATCCCATGAAGCCCCTCACCTCCATTGCCTTACGTCGAAGGCGGCCGGCGCCGCGAAGGATCATAGAAGTTGTAGTCCAGGGCGTATTCCTGTGTTAGCGGAGGCGGGCGCAGCCACAACATTCGTGGGAGGCGACAGGTCGCGACGGGAGCGACAGGTGGCATGGGGGGGTGGCTGCAATCGGCTGTAGGTTTTCCAACTCTCGCTCTAAGAGGAGGGGATATCATTTCCGCAGACTTCATCTCTTTGTTCCTCCTCTCTCCCCTTGGGACTCCAGGAAGGCGGGGCTTGAAGCCCCCGGGTAAGGGGGAGCGCTGCTGCCCTCCTCCGGCGGTGATGTCACTCCCCCCTCCGCAGCCGCTCGCTGCCCAGAGCTGCCGGGGCTGGGTCACCCCTCCCCCCAACGCCAGCCCCGGATCCCCCATCCCCGCCCCGCCACGACTTTGGGTGAGTACGGGGGAGGGGGCCAAGGCTCAGGAGTGGGGGTGGCGAGACAGCCCAAATCCCTGTATGGGAGGCGGGGAGGCTAGGGAGACGAGGACCCAAAGATTACAGCGGAGAGATTTCCCCCCAGTTCCTAGCTTTGGGGACTAAGGTACTTGGAAGGTATCAGGGAAACCCAGGATCCTAGGCAGGGGGTCCCCCATATTTTCAGTTTTTAGCGTCCGGGAGGCTCCCTTTGCTAGATTTGAAACTAATGGGAATGGGGGCGGAGGAAGATGGAAGGGGTCCTAGAAGTGAAGGAGGGGAAGACCCTTCCCCAAATCCAGGGTCTTGGGGAACAGGTGAGGGAGTGTTGGGGGGGCAAGGATAATGGAGGTGGGAGTTTGGCGCTTTCGGGAGTTTTGTGCTTTGAGGGCCTGGGCGAAGGCAGATTGGGAAGGAATGGGGTAGGTTCTGGAGAAAGGCAGAAATTGGTCCCCCCTTCCCCCCGCTGCAAAAAGGGTACTTCCCCCTGGGTTGAAGGGGCTGGGTGTCCCGTGAACCGAACCCTCATCAGGCGTGTGGAAGCCCCATCCTCTCCAAAGGGTGGGTGGAAAGTCCAGGCTCCCCCTCCTCCCCACAATACCCCAGTGGAGTCTGGGGAAGGCCGTGAGGGTGTGTCAGCCTTCAAATTCTCCCAGGGCCTGAGGGAGTCCGGACCACTTGACCCTCCCACGCCATGGGCCCGAACCCTCCCCCCTTCCAGCCCCCCTCCCCCAGCCCCCACCGTCTCCCACACCTCTGACCTCCCTCTGGGACAAGGCTGCTTGGGTAACTTGACCCCCCTGGCTGCTGTCAAAAGCCAGAAAGTGGAGTGTAGAGAAGGAAGGAGGGGGAAGGTGTGTGGGAGGGGAGTAGGTTTATACTCCCGTTATGCCTTGCACCCTAGCCCCTTACCCAAGCCCCTGGTGCCTGCCCAGCCCTTGCCCCAGCCCCAGCCCCACTCCCAACCTACCCCCGAGCGGTCCCTCACCTCAGCACTCACGGCTTCTCTGCCTGGGGGTACACCAGAATTCTGGGAGAGAGGGGTATGAAGCTCCGATGTCTTTTTCTCTGCCCTTTTGGGTCCCATCAGAGGCTTGAGGCCTCCCCGAGGGTCCTGGCTACTGGGGTAGTGGGCGAGCCCAGGATCGGGAGTGGAGAGTGAGGGAAAACACCTGCCTGGTCTGCAGGACGGGCCCCACTTCTGCAACTCTGCAGTGACGCAACCCTGCAGCCCAAGTCGCGGCCAGGATGGGGGTTAGAGGGGTGAGAGGGAGACCGAGATGTCAGAGCTGCAGAGAGACAGGTGGTGGGGGTGGGGGAGTAGTGGAGAGACAGAGACAGAGACCCAGAAAGAGGGGGACGAAGACCTAAGAGAAGAGGACAGAGACCCAGAGAAACGGGGACAGAGACCCAGACGGGGACAGAGACCCAGAGAGGAGGACAGAGACCCAGAGACAGGGGGACAGAGATCCAGAGAGAGGGGCATAGGGACCCAGAGAGAAGGAGGCAGAGACAGATCCAAAGAGAGAGGGGGCAGAGAGGAGGACAGAGACCAGAGAGAGAGGGACAGGGACCCAGAAGAGAGGGGGACAGAGACTCGGGGCAGGGCAGAGACCTAGGGAGGGGGACCCAGAGATGGGTACAGAGACCCAGAGAGAGGGGGAAACAGAGATGAGGGGAAACAGGGAAGAGAGGGGATAATGCACAAGTTGGTATCAAAGGAACAGGGGATTGGGACAGAGACCTGCAAAGATAAAAGGCAGAGACGCAGGGTAGGCTGGGGGGACAGACGGAGCAGGGGGCAATTCAAGGCAGGTGTTAGAGACCCGGAAGAAAGGGACACAAACCCAGAGGAAGGGGTGCAGAGACCTGGAGGAGAAGGAGGGGCCCGAGGGGAAGAGTGAAGGGCAATGAGGTGGAGGGAGGGGACAGAATCGCACTGAGACCGAGGGAGCCACTCAGAGAGGGGAGCGGGGACTGAGATCCAGAAAGAACAGGTGCAGAGACTCAGAGGAGGGAGAGAACAAGGGGACAGAGAGAGACCACGAGAGACACAGGAACAGGAGCGGGAGGTGGGTGGGGAGGCGATACGAACCAGCCGCCGCACCTGCGGAAGGAGGCGGCGGGCCAGGGAGAATGCAGCGGGAGGTCGCCCGCAGCCCCTGACCCGCCCCCTTCGCTCCCACAGGCACCGCCTACTCCCGCCGCAGCCCCAGCCGCAGCCGCTGGCCCCGCCCCAGGCCCCTGCGCCTGCGCCCTGCAGCTCTTCGGCTAGGTCCGCCGAGGGGGCGGGGCCGGGCCCGCTCCGGGGCGGTTCGCATTGCTCTGGCCCCGCCCCTCGTTTACCCACGCCCCCACTCTCCAGTTGCGTTCTGCTGTAGGGTAGTTCTGAGTCGGAGACGACTCAACGGCATCTAACACCACCACTCTCCACTCTTCCGGCTCCCGGGCCTCAGTCTCAACTCCGCTCCGTTTACCTTTGGTCCTACGCACTGCCCCAGTCTGGCGGTGCTTCCTGGGCTGTTTATTCTCTGCAGGACTGGGTTCCCTTGTTATCCCATCCTTGTTACCCATCTGCTGATTCTCCCGTCTGCAGTTTACAATTTGCTAGACCTCGACCCTTTGCTCCAACAGTGTGGAGATCTTGTTTTGCCCCATAAGGCCCCGCTCACTTTAGTCAGGACTCTCTCTAGGCTGCCTGACCCCCAAGACTCCAGACCCCACACCTTTTCCGTCCAGCGCAATTGCTTTGCATTCTCTCCCAGGCTCACTTTTCCCATTGCGTGCCCTCCATCCTCCCATTCCAACCAGGACGTTTATTCTTGATCACCTTTCTCTCTTAGCTCTGCCTCGCCTCCACCAAGCCCCTTTATTCCCTTAGTTTCCTTCTCACGGTCCACTCAAGACGTTTTATGCTATTTGTAGAACCCACCTTCTTTCCTCAGTCCCGTCCCATCCATCCGGACCCTTACTTCCCCGATCCTGCTCTGTCTAATCAGGCCAAGCTTGCAGCCTCGGCCCGCCCCCTTCAGGGCTAACCAGACGCCCCCAGGTTTCCAGGCCCCATTAACCTTCACCCCTTTTTATCTGGTCTCATTCGCTTTTTCTCTGGCCTTGTCCCTTTCAGTCCGACTAAGTCTCATTGACGCCTCCCACTCTCAATCCCAGTTTCCGCCCCCTTTCAGTCCCACCCCTCGTCAAGTCCAATCAGAACTGTTTCTATCTTCTGCAGACCCCTCCCTCCTCCCCTCCTTCTTAAGCGCTGTCCCAGTCTAAACCCTGTTAGGGATCCAACCCTGCCTTTTTCATTGGCTTCTTTCCACCAGGTGCTGCCTGCCCGTGTTTTGGGCCCGGACCTAAGAGCTTTCGTTTCTCCTCGCCTCCAACTCAGTCCAATCAGCATAGTTTGTTCCATTGTAATCCCGCGCCTCCCTCCGCCCGTCACGGCCAGTCAGGCCCTTTAAGTATCCTAGGCTTGTCCCCTCCCTCTACCCTGCCGGTCCATTTTCTTCATTTCTTTCAGATCGCTTTCTCATATCTAGCCCCGCCACCTCCGTTCTTCTTGTGCTGCCAAGCCAGGCGACATTAGGCGGTCCTTCCCGCCCCCTTTTACACCTCGCCTCGCTGTTTCCCTCCAGACGATCCAATCGCTGTTTCCCATCTGCGGCCCCACCCTGTCCAGCCAGGCAGCGTTCTATCTCCGCCCAGTTCGTTGCCTCAGCCCCGCCTCATCTCCGGCTGAGGCCACACCCACTCCAATCCCGTCTCCTCCCCCCGCCCAATCACGTCTGTCTCTCCCCAGCGAGGCCCCGCCCCGGCACCGATTGCCTCCTCCCACCCAATCAAGGCTACTGCTCCCGCTACGGCCCCGCCCCCCGAGACCCCGCCCC